AAATCGAAAAGAGTTACCTAACGGCGCTGTTCGGGCAAACGGTTAAAAATCTACCAAAATTATTCCAAGATCCTCACCAGTCCTAGGGAATTCGAGATTCTTCGGACTTACGCTTAAGTTAGACTTAGAATGGAGCACTTATGGGTTACCATCCTTGTGTCATGATATTGATCAGCTGTTTCAAATGAAACAGAGTTTTGCATGCATATCTATTTTACAGATCTGGCTTTTGTTTTTGTATAAAGTACCAGTTGAGATGATCAACTTCACTGCACTGGGTTTTATCCCATTCGGCTTGATCTCTCTCCCCAGAACAACTAGCCGCCTGCCGAGACCATCACAAAGAGCAAGAATTCCCTAGCTCTGGCAACGATCCCCAGGAATCTTCATAAAAATTGGACTTGTGAACTAAACGACGCAGCCATGAAACGAACTCACGACTTTCAGATTGCGAGGCAAATGGCTTGACCACTTGGCCACGGTTTGTATACAGATCATTGGTTTCTCACCTTTCAGGTGGATGCACTCTGACTTTGAAAGAAATCAGCAGTCAATAAGCATTATGTTTATGTTGCCTTGACAAATAAAAACCCTATGATGCCAACACAAAAGCAGACATGTTCAACTCAACTAGCTAACATTATAATTAACAACAAACAACTGGGGTCATCTCATCAACATTGAAATCACTGAGGTAATTGAAAATGTGTATATGAGAATATTCTCCAATTGAAAAAAAAAATAAGTTTCTGAAAGGCATACATCTCCAAAATCCAAGACACAGTAATCCAGCAGTGAAAAAACAATAAACAGAAGACTAGACTGTTCAACTACATCAAAAAACAGTTTATATTGTCAACAACAACAAGAAGAAGAAAAACACACAACTGCTGTATGCTGACACAACCAGTTGCAGGACGGAGCCGAGCGTTGTTATAACAGAACTATATAATGGACTTGGTTAGCATTTGAAGTCAACATGGATGGCATTTAAAAAACATATCTACATCTGTAAGAGAGGTCACACAAGGACAGAGACAACACACACAAGTACATGGCCTGGCTACTTCTTTGCTCTGTTTGACTAGCAGATGGATCTGCATGCTATGACGGCATCATGCCACTTATAAAACAACAAATCAGGGGAAATCCAATGATACAAGAATTAGCCCTTCCCCTGCAGCATATCACATGAGGTGACCTGCTGCCATCCTCCTGAGCCAAACCTTAGGTACCCATGTAATAAGACTAGGATGTGTCCAAAACTGGTATTGTTGTCAATCAATGGAACCCTGGATAAATGTTGGGAAGTTGAGGGTACTAACCACCAGCCATCACGGTTTGAAGATTATTATAATCATATACATATGTACATTTACAACTACTCTATTGTATTATATTACAAGAACTATTCACATATCAGCATATATCTCAGAATATGTCAAAATGGCCACATGCTAGAATCTGTCAGCAGTCCAAATATAGGTTACAGGTCAGAATTCGTCCCTCCCTGTGTGGGTTCTGGGGTCCTAATGTAGGAGAAACATAGACCTATTGATCCCCCCCCCCCACCCCACACACACGAGATGACTAATTATGGGTGTTCCTTTCAGTTGTAGTGCAACGTTCAACTACTTGACAGCCAAGGAACCAACAGTCTGCATATAAATAAGCCATATCTATAAAATGAATGCACAGGAAACTCACAGTTCCGGATGATGACCAAAGTTCAGAAGTGGACGAACAACCAGAAATTTCTGCCGGACTTTACAGCTAGTGGCGAAGAAGAAGCATCCTAGAAATACAGCAGAAATAAACAACACTAAGATGTGAACAGGAAACAACAGAGACAAGATCTAATCAGTCGGTCGGACGTGTCACCGTTGGAGAATGTCAGCAGGTACTTACTTCGCTACACAAACATACATGAGAATTACGGAGGCTAGCTGTCACTCTCAAAAATACAACATAATCAAACAACAATAACAATCTGTAAATATAAAAAAAAAAGTAAAGTTTCCTTTTCACGCCTTTCGGCGCATCGGGCATATGGGCAGAGCGTCCCATATTTTTACAGACCATCAGCACTCTGTGGGTAATGTGGTCAGCATTACGCCGGCTGTCTTTACTTTCCCAGGACAGCCCATCCTGGTACCCATTTTAGGCTGGGTCGACCTGCGACGTCCCATACCACGATAAAAATCCACGCAGCCCACGCAGGTTTCGATTGCGGTATGCTGGCTTACGAGTCGGACTCGCAACGCTTTAGCCACGGACGCCGCTAATCTGTAAATATAACATGTGCAAAATCTAACATGTACAGCTTGAAAAAAAAAAGTCAGTATCAACATCTCAAACTGTTGTATCTTTGTGGGATTTTCTGTCCTGACAAAGGTTAGGCGATGTGAGCAAGAGAGATCACTGCTGGCAAATGTCACCAAGAAAAGATCACTGTGAAGGAAAGCTCACACATGGTCACGGCACAAGGCGGCAGTCACAAGACTGGATGTGACCTTAACATAAACAGGTCAATACCCTGATGAGATGACAAGACAACTGCTGCAACCAACATCCGTGACAACTGAATCCACTGTCTGGTTACTGATGACAGCATGGAGTGTCTGGCCAAGTGGTTGGAAGATGTGGCTCCTGTGCAGGGGACCCGTGTTTGATCCTAAATAAGGGACGGCACTTTTCTTGTGGGGGGAGGGGAGGGGGGACCTTGACCTAGTTAATAACTGACTGCATAGTACTCAGGACACTCTTTTAAGATGTAGCAGTTTAACTCTCTCTGGACTGCGATGATCTATATATATACTTCTGCGTTGTTCACTTGATATCATAGGATCCTGACCAAACCTAGCTTATCGTGCATCATTTAACAATCAAAAGGCACAGAACCAGCTAACCTATCTCCTCATTCATTTCCTAATACACTTGTAAGCCCTGGGAAAAAAAGATTTCTAAAAAACTACCCCCTATAAATGTTTGCCTTCTCGGCATAGTAAACTAGCTGTCAACGCTAGTCAAAATATCAACATCAGTTTTACAATGTCTGCCACCTCAAGTGGCATACAGGCTAAGATTGGATGCTTTCATAATGATCAACATGAAAACATGATTATATGATAACATGATTTTTGAAATAACAAAGATAATGCTGGTTATGACAAGAAAACATCATCATCTGACATTCAGTTTCACCTGGACCATACAGGCATACATCATCAACAGGATATCCTGTTTCACCCAGATTAAACAGGAAAACGGCCGCACCAGTCGGCCAGCCATGGATCTGACAGACAATATGTGTGATAATATGTACATTCCTTCAGCAAGATTGAGCTCTCATGTTGGCATATATTTCCTTCAGCACCACCATTAGTTTCATCTGTTTAAAATGTTTCATTAGGTGAAAGCATTTTATGATATGCGAATACTAGTTGTGTACAACAGCTGTTATGTACTGTACCATCTTTAAACCAATGACACCCGGCTTCTGTGCTTTATGGAGAGGCTGTGGCAGGAAATATAACGATAGCTGCGCAGAGGTCACTGTATGAGAGGCACCAGTAAATTTACAAAACTAAAGGAAGGGACACAGGAAGTGACTTTACTTGCTGATTCTCGCCTATTTATACAAGCACAACTGTGAACCTGTCCATTTGCTGAAAAGTTCACCATGCTGACATCTACCATGGCGCAACGTGACTGTTTATATCAATGAACCATATTTTTTTTTTTTTTTAAAGAAACTGACCATTAAACTGTCATTGTGAAAATACAGCATTCTTCTATACAACTGATGATCTAAGAAATATCATTCAATATTTCTCTGCAGAGCCAAAGAGTTGTCACTTGAAATTTTATATAGCAAGAAGCTTTTACCAAGCGCTGACTCCCCAGTTACCTGACACTGATATTCAATGACTTTCCAGTCACCAGATAATGATATGACATGAAATCTGAGTCACCCATCATGGTAGTCACCTGAGAATGATGTCCCATGACCTGTGTCTGATAACCTTTGTATCACCTGAGAATGATGTCCCATGACCTGTGTCTGATAACCTTTGTATCACCTGAGAATGATGTCCCATGACCTGTGTCTGATAACCTTTGTATCACCTGAGAATGATGTCCCATCACCTGTGTCTGATAACCTTTGTATCACCTGAGAATGATGTCCCAGGAAGTGAGACATAAAAGGCAACACCTGAACATCACTCTCTTTTCTCCGATCAGTTGCTTCGCAGTGCTGTTGGACATTCACCTGTGTGTCAACATGCACAGTGCATGATGAAAAACAACCCAGACCCAAGCACAAATGCCTTGTTGCTACACAACTACAGCCTGCAGCAAGACGATAACAGGAAATTGATGGCAGCAGCTTGTATTTCACAACCACCAACTTTTCTCAAAAGAAAACTGGGCCGTCACCTATAATGCTGCATTCAGGTGTTCAGTGGCAGACATGGAATGTGAACATTTATAGTCACTCTGCAAACTAGGTCCGATTTTAATGACTGCAATATGCGACCTCGACAGTCAATGAGTGGGGGGTGTTCATGAAGGATGGTGGCAATGGATGCTAGGCTTCTGTCTACATGCATTCAACACTTTTGCAATTTTGCTGGGGTGAGTTTTTCATTTTGCACTTCACCTTGTTATGAGGCGTTGCACTCTGAAGCACATCTAAGCCAATATCTAAGTGTGCTATCCTTGCTACCAATTATATTTACTTCCAACTACTCCATTAGCTATATTACGTGTGACCATGTGACCAGCATGTGCATACACAGCCCCTGAGATGAAAGTTAGCAGCCGACAGCACTGTTCCCCCGAGGAATCAAACCAGTGACATTATCAGTTGCTACTGACCATCCTGCTGCCGCTTAGAAACTGTGAGGCTATGGTGTATCATCCTGTGACGGAACAATGTTGACAAATATGCAAAACTGTTGCTAAACCTTCAATATATACTAAGAAACATTTCAAATCTAGGCAAAGTTGCTTTGATGACTACCGAGTGATGCCAGTTCAGCTTGTACTTCTGGGTCTTTGTGTAATTCATCAATTTCTTCAGGCTGCACCCGTCTACGGTCTGACCTCAACGAGTGACCTGATTTGTTGGACTTGTTGCTCTTCGTGGATTTGGTGGATTTTGTGGATTTGGTACTGTTAGCTCGCTGAGACTGCCGCCTAAGTATATTCTGGGAGATTGTTCGATGCAAGTTTTTGCTGGATGCTGCGGCTGCACTCTGAAGCAACCATGGATGTTTGCTGGCCTGGGCAGCCGTCAGCCGCTCGTTGGGATCAAGCACTAGAGTCTTATCAATGAAATCCTTGGCCAGCGCTGAAACATCCTTCCAGTGCTGCATAGACAGAAAAGGTACAATGTTAAGAACAGGACAGCTAAGTCACTACACAGGCAAGAGTGTGCTCTAATTATTTCCCTTATTCATAAACAATAATAATACAAGGTAAAGTTACTGTAATAAGCCCAGGGAAAATACATCACATGCTTCAAATACTACAGGGTGTTTGTAAAGTCTCATTACACTTTGTATGCCGAACAAATTTGAATATGATACTTAAAAAAATGTGGCACAAAGGTCAATAAATTAGTTAAAATAGTCACTGATATGGTCTAACGCTGTTTTGGAAAAGCTGGAAAGTGCCAATGAAATATTTTCTATAAGCGGTGTTGAAAATGTCCACCACTGGCTTAAGACATGACTGTACATGTCTCTTCACCCTGTCAAAAAATTTCTGCAATGTCTCTATTTTTATTTCTTTAACAACAAGAAACAAACAAAAAACATTTTTCTGTTGATAACACCATTTTGTTTTGATTGCAAAGAAATAGAGATGACAGCTGTTCACTGCCTACTGCTTCATAATTGACTGTGCAGCACATTTTTTTTTTTCATAACGTTATGTACTTTGTTACTCAAATCTGCTACACACACACAAAGTGTAGTGATACTTTACTTAACACAACCTGTGTTATCTTTTAAAAGGGCATGAAGCCTGTAGTTAGATAAGTCAAAAGGTTTCCAACTGCTCTTGGTATTTTTAATTTGCTGTGGTGGAGGATGGTTCTGTCCTTGCATTGAGGAACAGGCTAAGCTTGCATGGTACAAGCTTATCATAGGTTTAAAGATACTAATGTGTTCAGGCGTTGATGTGCCATCCACTATAAACAATGGCCGAAGGTAATCTGGAGCATTTTGCGATAAGATTTTGTGAATAAGTTAAATCTTACTGAAAAGTAGCCATCATAAAGCAGTAACAGCATATTCCCGTTATATGGGTTGAAATTGTCCCTTACATGATTACTAACTATTATATGTATAGGTCTTCTTTGAAGTGCGTTAAGTCGTTTGATAACCGAATTGGAACAGCCGTTCCATATTGTAAAACAAAAGTCTATAATGGGTCTGAATGTGGCGAAAACAGAATAACGTTTCTTAAGTTAATATCAAGAAAACTAAACAACCTCTATCAGCTTCAGCCCCCCCCCCCCCACAGAGAGAGAATGAGAGAGAGAGAGAGAGTGTGTGTGAGAGAGAGAGTGTGTGTATGTGTGTTTGTGTCAATATAACCCCACATTTCCGCGTCAAAAGTGTGGCTAGTATGGGAGGAAATTAACTTTGCAAATGCCTAACTTTAGCCTGTTGCCTGAAGCCTTGGCTGATCTGTGATGATCACACACGGCATTATCTTCATGCAACGTGCGAAAGCTATCGGGGAATAGCGACACGCGCGTTCTGTGTGTGTGTGAGCATGGCTAAAAATCCTTCATGTCTTGGTCTTATTCCAGAGCTGGCTGGCAGGCAGTTCTGGGTCTGAGTGTTCCAGAGCAGGGCTGTCGAAGTTGGTATATTAGTACACATTTGGTACTATGAGTTGGATTATATTCACAGCACTTCAGACACGTCCATAGCTGCTGAGATTCCCTCTTCAACACTTCCGTACAAATCTGGTATCTCACCCGTGCCAAGATGTTTTGGTACGTTTTATAAATTCTGCAACAATATATGAAGCGTTTGATTTGTACGCAGTAAAGGAATAAATAAAGATTGGATGAAATTAACAGCGCAAAATCAACCAACTAATTGTAAAATACACCAGACAAATTTTGGTTTACAATTTCATAAGAGTATTATATTCAGACTAAGGACAGGGCACAACAGATTTCGTCAACATATGTCCAAATTTTTCGGTGTAGGAAATACGGAGACGTGTCCCTGCAGCGTGGCACCCGAAAATGCTGCGGATATGCTCGAACACTGTCAACTGTCTGCTGACAACAGAGACGCAATGTGGCCTGTTCCAACCACACTGAATACAAAAATGTATGGTATACGAGAGGATATGGATTGCACGATAGCTTTCATAAAGGCTACCGGCCTCCTGATCTAAGTTTTCTGACAGAAAGATCGAAGAAGAAGAAGAAGAATTTCATAAGAAAAGTATGGAGTTGATATCTTTAAATTAGTATCAAAACGTATGCTTAGCTCCTGTCTTTATCAAATTGAAATATTAAGATAACCAATCACTCTTCTTCAATTATAAATTTACTGACGAGATCAGTTATTGCTCCAGGATATTAGCTGCATGAATTGGAAGCCACCAAAACAGCTTTGTTAAAAAGAAAAACAAGTGGGAGACAGGAGGATACATCAAAGTTTTTTTTTTTTTCTCATCCCAATTTGGAAGCGTAGGATCCCCTAGGGAATTCCCGGAAAAGTGCAATTTCATGGGAAAGGGGGGTAGGGGTTATTTAAAAAAAAAAAAAAAGTGCTGTTCCCGAAAATTTGGGCAGCCCTGATACAGAGGCGGACCGCATCAAGGGAGGGGCTAGAGTCGGTCTGCCAGGAACCAGACAGTTTCCTGTCGGGCCGGAAGTCACGGGGGGAGCTTTCGACGGGCAACTTTCAGCATCTAAAAACTGCACACGCCAAACGTACGGTAGCGTGTTCGTTCTCTAGGCTTCCGGCAGGCAGATGGTTGTAGTGTGCTGGGAGGCGGGAGCCGTTGGATGGAGAGAGTGTTTACACCAGCAGAAAATATCAATGGCTGCGGTACCGACGGTACAGGAGAAAGAGAGGTCACGGGGTTACTGAGCAAGTCTGTGTGTGTATATATCTGCTGGTATGCAATGTATCTTTATGAGTGAGTCGAAAATCATATCAACGCAGAATTATTGGGTTAACCCTATATTTTATAGACCAGTCGGCACTCAGTGGGTGATAGGCAACATCACACCGATCGCCTTTATTTCCCAGGACTTTACCTTGTACCCATTTATGCCCGGGTCAACCTAGGAGCCACGGAAGTTAAAAAAAAAAACACCCGACTCGATCAGGACCCGAACCCACGACCTTTGGATCCGCAGACAAGCGTCTAGTCGCTTTACTGCGGCGGCTCCCAGGCAAGTGTGACGTGACCATTTAAAACGCTATGAAGTTCACACAGGCGCCCACACAGCTGTAAGATTAGGCTAGCAGGTCCCTTCCCTATTGTTGCCTCCAACTGAGGGAAAGCAGAAATTTACCAACACTGTCTAGACACAATCAAACAAGTCAATACGTTAAGTACTCAAGACACCCTTATAACAGCAAATGGCAGGCAGGTTTGCCATATTGGCATTTTTTATGCCAGATTCCACACAGTTGGCATATTTGAAATTGAACTGGCATAAGATAATGAACTGGCATATTTTGTTTTTTCCTGGCTTTTCTTACCAAGATGTGCTCACATTTTCTTCATGGTTCCTCCGTTAGAAACATGCAGATTTACTCAAAGCAATGTAGATCTACAATTAACATCTTTATTTCAGTTTGACTTTGTTGAGATGTCCTAGTACGGACTAACGGAGATTCGCGCCATTTCTTATATTGTATTTGTTGTCTTCCTAAACAGAGCGTGACTTCGATAAACCAAGGTCCTCTGTAATTTATGGTAATCTACTAGAATAAATGCGGGATATAAAACCAAAACCCACCACTGATACCAAGTGTTTCAGACTGCTCAGACATAAAATAGGGAGGATATAGACCTAGTTCTATCTGTGATAGACTTTATTACTTTTTACCAATGGCCATGTCATCTAAAAAATGGAAAGCATCTTATGACATCGCAAATATAATAGTAACTGGGAGAAAACATACCCATGGTTCAAAAGATCTTCAGACGGATCAGAGGCAGCATATTGTAAACTGTGTCAGTGCACTGTTGCACCAAGAATTAGCAGCATTTCAAATCATGAAAAATCCGAAAAACCAGGATAAAAACTGTCAAAAAGCCAGTCACAGCTTATTGCAACAATGACTCCTAGGCAAAGTAATGATAAAGTTGAAGCAGAAGAGTTGTAGCTTTATGTAGACATGACCTGCCATTGTGCAATACGCTCAATTGATTATCTAAGTAAAATCATAAGAGCGCATGGTCTGGGGAGTACATTGGAGCACATACAGTTGCATAATACTAAATATTCATGCCTAATAAAAAATATTTTATCGCCTGCACTTAAGGATGACCGTATTGATGATTTTTCGGAACAAGAAATGTGCCATCAGTATAGATACGTTGCAAAAGATTTCATCCCATCTGAGAAAATGCCTAAAGATTAAAAATCCGAAAAGGTTTGCGCTGTGTCTTCCACTTGTTCCAGTGAAGATGACAGTGAAGAATTATATCTAGAGCTTTTGATGTGAAGCGAGTACAATGTTACACTTTATTTGGCATTTTCTGGCATATTTTGGGTAATGGTTTGGCATTAAATGTAGTTTTTTTTAAATCTGGCAACCCTGATGGCAGGTGTATAAAAAAAGTTAAATGTAGAATACCTCATGCTAGGGCAAGCAATCCAAGAAAGAGTATTTTATGCAATACAGCCGTCGTGGTGTAGCAGCTAGGCGCTCGCCTGCGGATCGGTAGGTCGTGAGTTAGGGTACTGACAGAGATGGAACCCCCCCCCCCCCCCCTCCCACAAAAAATGGCCTTCGTTCTCAGGTCAAACCCGGTCTTGGATGGGTACCAGGTGCAATCATGGGAAGTAAAGACGGCCGGCGTAATGCTAACCACATCACCCACCCACTGGTCTATACAAAAGAAGTCTAGCCCAATACGCCTGAAGGAGTGGAAAACGGTCCTTCTTTCTTCTTTCTACTCCTGGAATGCCTCGCGGCGTCAGGACAGGAAGAGATCTCTAGAACGGGCCCTTCTGTTCGCTTCGTATACAGTACTTTTCAGTGTCTCTTATACTTCTGCGTGGGCGACCTCTGGGTCTGTTACCGTTGTATCTGTATAACATTCCTCTCTGTGGTGCCCTGTCTGCTGTCAATCTTGTTACACAACCAAAACA